CTGAATATCGAACAAATCATCGGTCCTCGCCAAGGTCAAGGACAACCAACGCGCATCAGTTAGTCGTACACTATGGACTGTCCAATGCAGTGCTGGTCTTATTTTCGCTTTTATCTACTTTAACTAATATATTTCCGTGATAACATCTTCCGTGTTGTACAGTTTTCAAGGCCTCTATAGTACCTTGATATGTCAATAGGGTAGTCCACGTAAGGTGCTGACCACGATGTGTGACTTCGACCTGATTCTCTGTATTGTGATCCGTTGAGATTCATGTAGCTTTTTGTACATGTTCGAAAGTGAATATTGTGCCGCTCACGACCATTCTGTTGAATGAAAATCTGTCGTCATTCTTGTTCCTTTCTCCCAGTCAGTACATGTCGTCCCATGATATCTCCATTCTTCCCATCAAAACAGCAAGGTCTTTTTCTGCGCATTTGAGTATGATCGATTGCAGTCTTTCGTAGGAATGACCTTTATCGTTGTCTCTGCTATCATTGATGGGTGCATAATATTTGATAACGTTGGTTGTGATCCCCTCTTTCTTGGTTGTGAAGGATACTTTGATGATCTTAGATTCATGAGATTCCCGTCCTATCAGTGCGATACCTGCTTGTTTGGACAGCAGTATAGCAATTTACTGACTGCACGGAGAATTTTCTTCTCCATGATCAGAGTACAGCAGCATATCTTCCAAATTTATCCGTCCCTGTCCAGCTTAGTACAATGTGTCGCATCGATTTTCAGAGCTGTCAAATTGGGTCTTCTTAATTCTATAACCATTTGACTGGTCCTTCCGCTCTCCCATATTGTCCGGATATTTCATGTGTTATATCTAGAGCTCAGATCCTTAATGTACCGCGCATAGCGTGAGCACTCGGACATTGGAAAACTCCCAAATCACAAATAAGAAGACAGAAAACAAGTGAAAGGAACTCTACTCCAAACAGTATCAATTATGGTACAAACTGTCAGGTATGTTTAGTCTTTAGTAAAAAACGAAATCATCATTGTAGTCCTCCAACCCGCATACAGAAGGTTATTAGCATCTGCTCAATAGGAAAGCTCTACATAGGGGTTTTGGAATATTCTACCAAACGATGATTGGATGGAATATCTTCGGCTCTTCTCAGGGTTTCCTCGTGTTCACTTGTGGACTGTCCTCACACCACATACTCGTAAAAATTGTTTCTGTTTTTTAGGAGGGACTCGGACCTCGTAACTTCTGAAGAATATCGGCTCTCATCGCGAGGCATCATAATTCTTCCTACAACTCCCAGGGTGGAGATTAAATTGCTTAATTTGCTTATTCTGGTGAGCGTCTTTTAGCAAAGTTGTTTTCTATGAGATGCGGTAGATGCTCCCATACCCCACCCTCCTCTTTTACCCGGGATCGGGACCGTCAGTAACCCTAGAAGAGGTACAGGAGGAATTAAAACTAATGAGTTCAGCATCAATGTAGAAAACTTACAGAACCACTTATTTTTTGATTTTCTTATCACTACGGCTCAATTTCCCTCCTACTATGTGTTAGCGTCTACCCTAAGATATGACTGGCGAGAAGTTCAAAACAAACAAGTTTGTCGTTGGTTAACAATATTCTAATAGCCTGTCGTCCAGCAGCATTTGATGTTATTTCCCTAATTTGATGAGCCATTTGGGACAATATAACAATAAAAAACACAATGAGCATTCTACTCCACAATATTCGTTGTTAGTTTTTCATTTCCGGAACTGAAAAAAGAGAATAAGTGTTTATTAGAATACACTACTACTTGTATAATATAAGAAAAACTTGCGAAATAGAATGGATATATGTATCGTCCGATTGTATTTGAGCGAAACCAAAATAATTGGGGTTACTTTCTAAATAAGCAACTCTCAGACTGTAAGTATTCACTTTATCCTTACTTCCGCTCTTTTCTGTGGTACTGTACTCGGGTTCATGATGTAGAAGTTTATACGGTTTTTATCATGTTCTACATATGAAGTTAAGTGAAAGATGGAGTCAAGTTGTCAGTATTATTTGAGGACATTACTTATCTGAAGACGAGCTAAGAGAATATGTTTATGGTTGGCAAACAGAGTGGATTCTCGGCTTCACACAAAGTGTTGAAAGAGTCATACGCCACAATACATGACTAGGAGTTTCCTGCCGAAAGTGCTACAACTCGATTCAGCGTCCCACAGTCGTTTCGAAGAGAATGCCATAGGTTGTCAAATGTTGTTTACCCGTTGTTGTAGCACTCCTCGGATCGTTGAGTCGGATGCGCCCGCGGTGATGCCGATATACGCTTAGATATCCTGGTTTGCGAGTGTAGTTGCTTCACAATGATTTCCTCGACTGTGGAGGACAGTTTATTGTGTTATTGTCCAGAGCAACGAGTTTCTCATTTCCACAAAACTGGTTTGTTCAGAAAATAATGAGGGACGTGCAATTCAGCATAAGTCATCGATAGAAGCCTACTAGTCTTCAGAATGCGAGTGACAGCTTAACTAGGTTGGTTCTAGGTTACTGAGAATTTTCGCCTCATTGCTTTGCAGGGAAAATGCTTCGAGCATCAATGGTATCACCGACAAACTTCAGGCAGTCAGTTACTACTTGACGTTTCCGAAAATCTACAACAGTGCCATATTGTTGTGGTTAATGATAAACAAGCCTAAATGCTAGAAACGGGATGCTCTGTCTGGACTTGCGACCGAGTAGTCATGATAGCCGTTTTTTGAATTTCGTCGGCAGTCATGGGGACCTGAGCGTATATTATAGTAACGTCAAGTTTTGAAAAAATAGTTGTACCCTTTATGGTAGCTGTCAAGCTGTGAATGTGTGGGAGGATTTAACGATCTTTAGCCTATCTCAAGTTTTCAGGAGGTAGTCAGCGACTTTTCGGGAATAAAAGTGGTCCGGTATTCATGATGTAATGTGTAATATTGCCGAGTATACAAATTAGTTTTTTAACTGAGTTTAGCACTGTTCACAGACGTGGGAAATAACTATTGGAAGCATGGATTGATTATGGATTTGATCGTGACTGGTCATAACCTACTATCAGGTTAAGCTTCACAAACGGATACGTTATTATTTCTGTCCATTAAACTCTGCTTGTTCTTGTTGATGAGTAGTTTACGGTGTTGTAGCAGGTCTACATCAATGACTGGCATAGAAACATCTGTAACAAGCAATACCTAGTGAATGGGCTTGTGAATACCCATGTTTAGGTAAATATATCTACTGTACGTGGCAATTGGATTTCTGTTAGCCACCTTCAAGTTGAAGACCTGGTCTTATGGAAGCCCATCAGTATTCGTGTAAAGAACGCTTATGTCTTTGCCAAAACCAACGAAATAGAGAACTTTCATTATCGCGTCAGTGACACATAACAAATGATTATGCCCTCCGTCAACGATTACAGGAGTCATAAATAAAGGAGGTCGGAGATATATTTTGAAGGTGATTGATGCATCGAGATGTATATTTGTGGTGGCATTGAGCCGTAATCACAATCCTCAAGGCTGAACACGAGACAACTGGGGACATAGATACTCAACATTTAATGCGGAGAAAAACCCAACACTGGAGAAGGCGGGTAGAATTAATACGACCAATGATGGCAAGACTCTGCCTTGCGGGCGTGGTCATTCTGTATGACTTGTTTTTATTCATATTAAATATATTATTCTGTCTCTAGCTTAAATATGTTCTCTGTTTTATAATGGTGATTGTTATGATAGGATGAGTCAGCGTAAACAATGATGTGGTTTCCACGTAAGATCTTATAGATCTTACATCATTACAAATCTTCAATTTCGGGAATAGGTCTATTATTAGAGCAGTACTAATAATCATACACATACTCAAGGATTACTAATTATTGCAACGAATGCATAGCTCTTTGTGCCCAACGACTATCTGGTACTGATGACTGACTAAACACATTCACCTAGGGTGTTTCCAGTGGAACCACTGAGATCGTCATCCTTGTGAAAGACGTAAGTCTTTATTTATTTGCCGCTACACATCCGTCCTGACTATCTAGAAGAAACGTAACCTCTGAGCACTTCAAAACTATGTTAGCGGACTAAATAACATGTTGCCCGTCTAAGCGAGATTAACTCCTAGCAGTATCTCCCCAAGTGATTCATGAAAACGACTTTGGATCATTATGAGAAGTTGTAGATAATCGAAGCAATATTTGTATCGCGGTGGTTGAAATAGATCTCTCAGGTACTGGCGAATCTTAGAATGTAAGTTAATTGCTCAGGAACTGCTTCAAGAATCGTGCCGCAGTTGATCTTGTTCCTCGTGAAGTGGAGAACGAAACATCTAGTAATAAATTCAGTCATGATATGAGCCACTCAATTCAAAGGATGCATACAATATTTGAGTCAAGGACCTCCTAGAATGTCAAACTTAGCAACATTCGCCCAATCAAATATAGGTACGATAAAATCAGGGTCTTCATGACTGATTATAAACTCATTTAAATGACTCACTCATTACGTCTACATGTATTGAATATGGCTTACTGAAGTCCCGAAAATCTGGATATTTTGTTTCCAAAGGTTATTGGAATAGCTCTGAAATCAATTTGTCCTATGTTTGTTTATTATTCGACTACGACGTAGAGCAGTGTAATGACATGGAGGGTTAAGTATGAAAACCAATTTTCTTCTTATCCTCAGTTGTAAAAATCATAGAGAATCATTACTGTATTTCTTTGCAGATAATTTACTGAAAAATTTAGCCGTTCTGGTCCTCAGCACATCTTAGATAATATGGCATTGTTCTGTCTATTGACTGTTATAACTAGATATTATTTTTGGCCACATTCCTCACTTAAAAGTATCCAAGACATTTTCATGTTTTGCTCGTAGATTACTACTTCAGCTATTTTGTCTTAATGAAGCCAGTGAATAACCAAGAATAATTTCCTACTACATAAAAACAGGCCTCAAAGAAATATTAATTCTATATCCAACCAGCGGATTCTGAAAGTTTCAGGTTTGAAGCGAATCAATTCGATGTTTGCGTTACACCGGGTGATACTTATTCTGGTTTTCTTATGCATCAGTTTGGATCCTTTGGATTTCAGTAAAATTACTGAACAAATTTACAATTATGTACCTTTGTCATATGCATCATTTTGTACTCGAAAACTTAACCTTACAGGACAGGTTGGTTGTTCCAGTGATATCAACGGAAATTCGGGTGTTGCTTTGTTTATGAATGAGTCACAAGACATTATTCAGACACTTAGTTCAGATATTTCAACTTCATTCGTAGTGGTTGTAAATGTTGGGCAGTTTGTTAACACTTCACTTATGCGGTATTTCCGTTCAACAACAAATATCAAAGGTCTTATTGTGTTTTCTAACGAGGGAGAAAATTACGACAGCTATGCATTTTCCGAATCATCCAAATGCCCAAACAGTGATTACAGCGCTTATAACTTTACTGATCAATGTGATTTGGATGCACAATGGAACCCAGCTGGGACAGAATATTCATATATCAGTTGGCCGTTTCCGGTTGTTTTGGTTGCTGATGTGAACAACACCATTTGGGTATTTCGAGATTTAATTTCTGACTTGTTTCTAGACTTCCATGTACGAATGTTTCTCAATGTTGAACCGAGAACCTGCTGATGATACGCGGTGCTTGATTGAAATAAATAACCCTATGTCAGCCGTTGGGTCGTCTGAGACTTGCTTTCGTCGTCAGTACCTCATGTCGCTGCATATTTCTGAAGTATGTTTTTTCCGACGAACCGTCACTTATGTAATTTGCATTAACTTTATGTCAGTCTTGAGATAGCATATTTTCGAGATTGAGGTACATAGGACTTTGTTTCTGTCGATAGAGGCCGCTAAAACGCTGCTGGTAATCTTAGTAAGGGTATCCACCTTCTTTTAAAAAATTCGACAAATGTACATGCTATCGAATTTGGTGAATTTGGAGACATTTCATACATTGAACCGTATAAACATTGAAATTATTATTGTATCATTTTCCCACTCTGTATTTTTATATTTCTATAAAAAATGCGAATAGTAGTTACAGAATATTTATTTCAAGTAATTCTTGTAGGCATACCAGTGAAGAAAATATACAAATTGCTAGACGAAACATACTTTACCTGTCTGCGGCTAGTCTGCTTTTGGGACAACTTGTTCATTTGAAAACGTTTCTCATCTGAGTTACATTATTGTCTGAGGTAATATAAGCAATCTTCAGTCTTCAGCAGTAAAAATAGTAAGTCCTTCGACCTGTATTAATTCTTGCAGCTTGTTTCTAAGTGGACATCCAGCTGCTTGGAAGTGTTCAATGATGGAGTTGATACCATTTATTCGGGTAGGGCTCTACAGTCATTGACTACTCGGTGAGAAAACCGGAATCCCGCCCCGAGTTTATTTGATCGCGGTTTTTGAACCCTCTCTCAGCGGTCTCACATATGATTAGTTTCAATGGTGGAAAAGGATAAAGCACATTGACACCCAAATCATTATTTAAGATCCAGAGTGCTAATATAAGGTCACCTCGCGTTTTACGGTAAGATAAAGCGAAATGGTGTGAAATTTTGGTCTCTCATCATAGGAGAATCAGGAAACCTCGTTGACAACTTAGTTTTTACGCTTTAAAAATGGTCAAGTGTGGTAGCATCCTTGATAAAACATGGACTAGCTGCTTGGATCCATTATTGCAAGTGGACTATAAAGTCTGAAATACGTCTTCATCAAGGCGTTCGAACGCTCAGCGAAGTGACCATAGCACTCGGAAACCTTTGGCACTTTCTTCATTGCAAGACACAGTTGTTTTTAAGTCGCAACCCACTATTATGCATAGGTCTTTTGTTCCTGTACGTGTGGAAGCGGTTGAGTATTACTGCGTCTATTTTCCATTTGACAGATAGTTCCTATTTAAACATTAAATTCGTTTTTTAATTTTAATATTTTTCATTTGGATACCGTTTATAATCAATCTACATCTTCGGGGCCATCTAACTAATTCGTCCAAATCAGCTTGACAATAAAGATGATCAGCCTCGCTACTTGTTGTTTTCCAATCTTTAATATTATTTGCAAACAACAATATCGACAGCTCGGTCGCTGAACGCCATATTTCTCTTCCCTTACTAAATATATAGGTCTGTCGTTAACATCCAACCTTTATGGAGTTGAGTTTAGGAAAGTGACATATTGTGTAACGCCTTGAGTGATTCCGAAATAAAATGTGCAAGAGATATCGTGTACATAAGTTGTGTTAGTCTTATTCTATTTTTGGTAGTGTGCTTTCCTGACTAAAACCTTTTTGGTGCACCTGGTCAGTATTGAAATATGTCATGAATTAGCGAAGTCGATGGATCACAGACAATGTGAGATGGAGAGTAAAGTGAAAATAATATTACCAATCTTAAGGAAAAACCAAACATCGGAAATGTAGCTCAAAAACAATAGAATCTTAGAACCGAAAGTAAGAAACAACACCCGAATCACCTAACCATAGTCGCGTAATTAATTAACGGGTCATATTTTACAATTCCTGAACTTCGTATCATGAAATCAATAAGGCACTCTGGCACTTAGTATAATTCAGAAAAACCTAAAGAGTTATTTATTATTTATATTATATTTTTGGTCTTGCGAAGTGCCTGTAAAATTTTTCCTTTAACTGTTGATATTCCAGAGTTCGGAGATTTTCTGTGATGAATTGACAGGGCTAAACATTATTTTATCAGTAACTGATTCAAAAAATCACTCAAGGGATAATAACATTAGCAATTATGCTCGGTCTGAGAATTCTTCAGTGTTTGTTCTTACTCGGATGGATTCTCGAAGTATTTTCGAACGCAGTGGGTTTTCAAGCCAAGGTGTCCTTCCTAGTATAGCTGTTTTGATTTCTGTTGCCGTACATTTAATGGGACAGAAAACCTTGAAAGTCAGTTTATAATGTTGTTTCAATGAAAGTATGGCATTTTTGACTTCTTTATTTCTGTTGGTATTTTGTTGCTGATTCCTTTTATTTAGGTTCACCGTGTTTCGAATTGGGTTTTCCACTTAAGACCGCGTAAAAAGTAATTAGTTTTAGTTTAACACAGTACTGCGAAGTAATGGGGTAGTAGTTAAACCATTTGAATTTCGGATCAACCGATGAGGTTGTGAATCTTCATTGACTGAGATGTTTGGGCCACGTGTTACGTATACCCGCACACTGATTACCACGACGCAGAATGCTGATTAGTGTTGGGGATGGTTGGAAAAAAGTTAGAGGCGGCCAAATCGAAACATCACATCAGTGCTTGGAGTCACTAACTTCTAGTCTGAGCCATTTTGGTAGATGCAGACCACTTGGTTGAGGTTCGCGTGACTATTGTAACCAATGGTTGTAAACTCTGGGTGACATGGCTCAGAATCGATCACAATGGCGTAGGTGTATACATTCTCTATCTTCCATTAAACTATGAGATTAAAATCGCTTCATATCTTTCTTCCTACCAACTAATTCTTTCCTCTTTTACTATGTCGTTATATGCAATCTTTCTTTTACATATTGCCACTATTGAATAAACTATTTCCATGGATTCGGTGTTCGTCTTGCTGTGCTAATGAGGTATGGCATCTTGGACCGATTCGTATATGCGCCTAGTCCTACGTTGTAGCTGACTGACTGACGACTTTTGATCAGTGTTACACGTCTAGGTATTTCTTTATCTCTTTTGTTTCTGATATCAGGTCACATTTTCTAGCTCGTGCCATAAATATTGGTCTAAGCTGATAGCACAAACTTGCAATTAATTACTCGATTAAATTGACATTCCAGGAATAATGAGGTGTTAATCTTTTTGTGCTGGACCATGAATTTCATTTGGTTTTTAATGTTCTTCCTCATTTTCCTTACTTCATAAACGTTTGTGGATTTCTCACTTCTTTAGTTGTAATAGTTGCTTCTTATCCCAAAAGGTAAAATTTGTGTATGATTAGAGACAGTATGATAAAGAATTCCTTTTCAAAATATTATGGATAGACAAATGGAAATTTTTACTAGTAGTGTTTTTAGCTACTTCCGTAAATCGATTAGGTATTGTTTTTGAGAGTGTCAAAATTTTGTTTTCTAGCGCCTGAAACAACATTATACGTAGCTCTCATTCTTACTTTGGCGAATCAACTTATCTCTTTCCAACGTATTATCCTCTCTAAAGTGACTTTTGAGTATTTGCTTTTTGATTACCAGTAGTTAAGTCAACAGAAGTAAAGTTGATTATAATCCATAACCCACTTGTCAATTTTTACATGTTAAATTATTGTGCATCAAAATCCCTATAATTTATTAGATTCTTTGAATATTATAGTTATTCTATTCACTTTTATCTTTTGGTCACCTTTATTATTCATCATCATTTACATGAATACATCACTACTTAATCGGTATTAATCTTATTTATCTTAAACATACTAGTGTAAAACCATAATGAGAAACTAATTATAAGGAAATATTTTTTCTGTCTATAGGTAGACATGTGCTTAAAAACATCCGATGGCGGCCCAAAATCAGTTAAAGTGGTACATATATATGTTCCTCATGACGTTTAGGTATTAATCAACCCACTTATATTGTTCTTGTAGGTACCTGAAATTCTGTCAGTTTTTTTTCTTTTATTGTCATTTAAAAGTATCGGTATTCTGTTGCATTGAGGTGTTGATTAATTCAAGTGGATGAAATTAATAACTCAAGTTTAATACGCATTTCCTTCTTACTGCTAAAACTATATTTTCGAATCAAATGACGAAACAAGCTTTGTTAGTTTAACTAGTTTTATAGGAAATACCTTTGTCGATATTTATAATGTGTTTAGTCTTTATCAGTTTCAACGCTGTGTTTTGAAACTTAAGTTTCTTCTATTATGACCTGGATGGTCAAAGTTTTCATAGTTTAATAGGTAAATATTGATAGTTATTGATGAATATCATCAAAGCGAAATTTTGAACACAAACTGAAATCTAGAATTCGAATTCTACCCCAAATACCCTAGTACGGCCGAGAGTGGGGAGAGTCCGCTCTCCCTCTCGAAATACTCTCACACGGCCACGCGTATACAACCTCTGCCAGGGAAGTCCTACTCATTGCCTTCTCGTGGCGGGGGTGTTGTTTACGAAAATGAAAGGACGAAAAGCGAATGTCCGGCGCTTTAACCGGACCCCAAACCAGTGGTGCACATGGGCTCCAGTATCCTGCGGGAACAAATGGCATATGAGCCAATCGTTGGTCACCGGCTACCATGGGACTGCATCTCCTTATGATGCTCCACTGCCTTGTGGGTTAGACCTTTAGGTCAAAGGCTCGGGGTGTGGCCACCTAAGATAACCATCTGCTTCAGTCTGGGGACCCGGACAGTATCACAGCCCACACACAAATATGATGAACTACCTATAATTATGGAAACTACTTTACTTGCTTCAACTAACAATCAAATGATTATTATTATTATTGTTATTTACCACATTATTCACCCTCTTTTATACTTATACAGCGGCTCGTCTTTGGTGGAAATTCGACTGTATCTAAACGTTCTCGAGTCACTGTCCGGTTGAAAATTGTATGTTACCACTGAATATGAGTAGTGAAGCAGTTTTTCTGAAACCACGTGCACCATTCAAACTGGCTGCCTTCAAAAATCTCATATTTATGCAGGTCGGACAACAGATAGGGCTGGCTATGTCTTTGGAAAGTCTTAATATTGATGTCTGCTGTCTATCCGAGACCCGTATTCAAGACTCTGGTGAAGTACTACGAATTCGCTCTCCATCTGTCGCTTCGAAAAGCTTGTTTTACGTGCGCTTATCCGGGAACCCTGTGGCATCTTCGTCTGGTCTTGCTGGCGTTGGTGCCGCACTAAGCGCTAGAGCTGAGGCAGCACTAATCGATTAGATCCCCATTAACGGTCGGTTATGTGCTGTTAGATTAGAAAGTTCCATCAAAGTGAGAAGAAATCGGCGTGATAAACGATGTCTTTTCGTCATCTCCGCCTATGCTCCGACAGATTGTAGCCCGGATGCAATCAAGAATGAGTTTTACCACTAGTTATATGTTCTTCTCCAGAAAGTGCGTTCGACAGATATTGTAGTACTAGCCGGAGACTTGAATGCTCAGGTCGGGTATCTAGGCACAGAAGCGAGTCATTTAGGTGGCCAATGGGGACTTGTTGGTCGCAAGACAGATAACGGGGACCGTCTACTGCACCTGTGCATAGACCACAACATCTTTCTGGCTAGCATCAACTTTCGGCACAGTCATCGCCGATGTGCCACCTGCCGTCCCCCTTCTGCATCTCAAGCCTGGACTCAGATTGATCACATCGCGATCAGCTACCGCTGACGTGGTTGTGTACAAGACTGCCACTCCTTTTGGAGTACCTATCTGGACTCTGACCATGCCTTGGTCTGCGCCAATCTTACCTTACTTTTCAGTGGACAAAGAAGTGACCGCCACCAACGGGTTGATGTTAGCAAGCTGGCTGCAACTTCTGTTGCTAGTAAGTATCGAACCGAGCTAGTTTCTAGGCTAGCTACCATTCCACCGAAAAGTATAGATGAGCATTGGTTGCAATTGCACGACGCCATGAAAATGGCGGGTACAGTCAGTTATGGGTTCGCGAAACGTCCCGCTTATAAGCACTGGGTTTCTTCTGGTTCCTTACAACTCATTGAAGCCCGTCGGTCTACTCCGGGTGACCGTGAGTTTGACCATAAACGAAGGATGTTACGTAAGGAAATTGGGCAAAGCTTGCGTAAGGACCGAGAAGCCTGGTGGTCGATGCGTGCTGATGAGCTGGAAGCAGCAGCTGCATCTGGTAACTACCGGAAGCTCTTCCAGCTCATCCGAGCCACTGGCAGCAAGAAGTCTGGTGTGAGTGCAACAATCTGCGAGGATGATGGGATGCCAATCACTAACATCCATCGACGTCTTGGACGGTGGGCAGAATTTTTCGAAGGGCATTTCAACTGGCCTGCTGCTCCGGCAACATCGGTCGGACTGTCCTGCCCTCCATGGCCGGTGACGACTGATCCACCAAACGAGAAGGAAGTCCGCAAGGAACTCCAACTCTTAAAACGTTACAAATCACCTGGCCCAGATGACTTACCTCCGGCTCTTTTTAAAGATGGTGGTGACTCTCTGACTAAGGAATTGACGTTGTTTACAAATGTTTGGGAACTAGAGAGTGTACCAACGTCATGGAATGAGTCGATAGTTGTCCCTATCTTTAAAAAAGGTTCACGTCGTTCCTGTAACAACTATCGGGGGATAAGTCTACTTCCGATTGCGTCCAAGCTATTGGCTTCCGTCATACTTCGTAGGTTGTTCAAAACCCGAGAAAGACTGACTCGCGAGGAGCAGCCTTGGTTTCGTTCTGGTCGAGGATGTATTGATCATATCTTCACCCTCCGCCAAGTGTTAGAACACCGCCATACTTATCAAAGGCCAACAATCGTAGTGTTTCCTGATATCGGGGCTGCCTTCGATTCGTTGGATAGGACTGTTCTCTGGGATTGCCTATTGGAGAAGGGTGTACCTGAGAAGTTTATTAACATCCTAAAAGCCCTATATACAAACACAGGCAGAGTGAGGGCATACAACCACCTCTCTCCATTGTTCCATTCAAGCAGTGGGGTTAGGCAGGGTTGCCCAATCTCACCATTCCTCTTCAACTTTGCCATTGATGACATTCTAGAAACAGCTCTGATGAATGTAAGTAATGGTGGTGTGGATTTTTTGCCTGGAGAAAGACTTCTCGACCTTGAGTATGCGGATGATATTGTCTTACTGTGCGATAATGCCCAAGCCATGCAATCCGCACTTAATCAGTTGGTAATCAGTGTCCGTAGATACGGTATGTGCTTTGCACCTTCGAAGTGCAAAGTACTTCTACAAGACTGGCAGGATTCTAATCCTGTACTCACCCTGAATGGTGAGCAGATAGAAGTAGTCGAGAAGTTCGTATATCTAGGTAGCTGCATAAGTGCTTGTGGGGGTGTGAGTGATGAGATCAATGCACGTATAGTGAAAGCCAGAGCGGCTTATGCAAATCTGGGCCACCTTTGGCGCCTTCGTGATGTTAGTCTGGCTGTAAAACGTCGGATCTACAACGCGTCGGTGAGAGCAGTTTTGCTCTATGCTTGTGAAACCTGGCCTCTCCGAGTTGAGGACGTTAGACGACTCTCTGTGTTCGATCATCGTTGTCTCCGAAGGATTGCCTACATCCAGTGGCAACACCATGTCAGTAATGCAGAGGTTCGGCATCGTGTGTTCGGTCACAGAGACGATAATGCAATTGGTGTCACCATCTTGAAACACCGACTTCGGTGGCTTGGACATGTTCTACGAATGTCGTCCCAGAGAATTCCACGCCGTGCATTATTTGCCGACTCTGGGACTGGTTGGAAGAAGCGGAGAAGTTGTCAGTGCATGACATGGTGTCTTAGCATGAAAGAAAGCTACAAAGGACTGGCTTCTGTCGGTCCTTCACGACTCCCTGGTTGGGGTCCGAGAGATGGTGCTACACAGTGGCTAGAGACGTTATCAGATATGGCTCAGAATAGAAGCCAGTGGCGATCCTGCTGTAACCTTCGTTTACTTTATTCATAAAAAAAGTGGTTGTGTCTTCCTTAACTGAAAGATTTCTTCTGATTGTAACTTTCCGTTCCCTCATTATTACCACACTACCTTACACCAATCTCTTCGTTATTGTTCTCTTTTTTTTACGCCCCTTACCCTTACCTTTTTTTCTCTTCGAATTCTCATTGTTTTGTGTGGCTATATATATTGGCGCTCTCTTGTACCAATATTTATGTGTTCAAATAAATAAATTCGTTTTTAATTTAAACGCAGCAGATTTATTAAGATACATATTACATATTATTACGGGTCTCGATCTAAGCCATCCTGTGTAGTATGTTTGATCATTTTAAAAATATCCGGATAATGGTTTTGACCATTTAGTTACCGTTGTGATTGCCTGTAAACATTTCCTCTATTTTCAGATAAAACTGATGTCACATATTTCCACTAGTATTGTAAATAAAGTTTCTATTCATGAGATTTTTGTTTCTCTGTATAAAGGAAGAATGGATTCAAATTCGTTAAAGGGAGCTTTACGAATGAATTAGCTCCAAAATTTATTACTTTTTAAAAGGACGGTGATAAAGTATTTGTCACACATGTTCCTCGAAAAATGTTTTTATCATACTCAGATTTTATTGTCAAATAATTTATCTTCCAAGCAAGTCACGCCTTATCGTCAACTGTTTTTTCAAGGATCAAATGGTAAAAATGTAGAACACATACTTTTTTAGAAAGGTGCCTGACAATAATAACCTTGTTCTATGTAAAATGACTTGTCTTAAAAAGGGCAGTGGGTTTTTTATTTATTCATTTGGCTTCCAACCAGTAGTTATCATTTTCAAACCTTATCTAATCTAACTCAGAAAAGTTAAGTAGTATTATCAGTCTCCACACAATGTGGCTCACAGTCAACTGCTTAAACATGTACCCAGTAAATGAGTCATAAAATGATACTAAGATTTAGTGCAGGTACAATTTCCCGATGCATTCTCTATATATGGTGCTGACGAATCACTTTGCACGCGGTAAATCTTAAAATAGTCCTAACACTGTCTGTTTGTATAGTATAAAATCCATACAAGTGATACAAAAACTTAAAACATAATCATTTTACGAAACTACATAGTCACGGGAAATCCCTCGTCCTAGTCAGTCAATCGTAGTCAAAATAGAGCCTGAGACTAATGTCTATTGGCACAAATTATTATATCACATAGTAACGGTGAGGTAGAACCAATAAAACAAGTCGAAACAATGTAGTAGGGATGATAATAAGGGAGACTAACTATTAAGAGTGTATTTAAAAAAGATAATGAAAAATTATATATGAAGAAATACCGAGAGTCAAGATGAAGAGCAAGATAAAAAGTGGATGTGCGCCATTGTGAACGATTATTATCTGTACCATTCGTCTTTAACAATTGGTTACGAAAATTGTGCTGATCCCAACCAGGTAGTCTACATTAACCTAAATGACCTAGTTCACCAATCAAAGACTTCATAGATTGGTCCCACGTCATGGTTCAACAGCACTTGAACTCCTTACCTACTCCTACGCTAGTTAACGACGCGTTTTGAGGCAGTCGGTGCTTGGTCATGTCTCAATCATGTTAGTCGATGAAGATCCACTTCCTTATCAATCGATGTCATCTTTTCCTGTTATGTTATGCTTAACTCTGGCATTGCTAGTTCAGTTTTTCCATAATGTATGAACAGTACTTGGGAGACACCCACGATAAAGAAAACTTAAGCATACATATGTCTTTTAATTTCAGAGGCCTTGCTCAGCAGTCCTTCAGCACTAAGTAACGTGTAATATCGTACGAATAATAGATATATGCCATAATTGGTCATTAATACGTCAAACATGGGTAAATCAAGGTTTTGTAAAGTCTTGGTGGTAAGGATTTACAATGTAATTTGATTGGTAAACTATCCAAATAAGAACAGACCTAGCGCAATCTGTTTTAGCAAAGAAATTTGGGCATCTATTTTCACTTTACTTATTAGTAGGACTAGATGATGATTCTTGCATTTTCAAAATTACTTGCTGAGCTAGAGGAAAATAAATTCAACTAACTTGTTAAATGATAATAATCTGTGAAGATAAATATTTAGTGAAAATTGGGCGTTTTTGTGACAATTGGTTTACTAATTACTAACTACCTCATGATTGCTCCAGTCTTATCTTTCAATAATTGCTTATGTTTATTTCTACTTGGTAATTCTACTTATCATTCAAAGGGGAATCATCTGCCTTTTATCTCATTCGATATCGATTTGAAATGTGAAATAATATTTTAAATATGTTAACTTAATAACATTAGTTTTGGTTATGCTTGACAATCTAACCATTAGTCTGTTGGATTATTGTCATTTCATAATTATGCATTATTGAATTCTTTCTTAGTTGGTAATAAAACTTTGGATCTTATTGTTTCATCAATAGAATTTTGACCTCATAATATTTTAATTATCGACATTTTTTCTTCTGATCATGAAATATTCTCTGTGGTTAATTAACTCACACTGAGAACTCTTAGGTTTTCATGCACTAATTATTATTGAGACTTACTTTGTTTCACTTTTTAAGTTTGCTATAAACCTTTGCATCTATAATAATGTGTGTGTTTGCAGCACAGTGCCAGACTGATTGTATACTATGAATTTTCATTTCAACCAAGATCCAATAGAAAAGACTACATAATATGACGATAAGTTTATTGATCAATATTTATTTCTGGAAATTTGATCTAATGTTTAACTAGTCGCATCCTTGTCTTTGAGGTCATAGTCACAGAATAATTATCTTTGGAATAAATTTGGTCAGTGAATTTACTGTCCGTAATTTTTCACCAGCTTATATTTTGAGGTACGCTCACATTTATTTCGTGGTCAGAAATTTTCGTGGAATTTTCCATCATTATCTCCTTGATCGAAAAAGTTATGGATTGGTTAAAACGTGAGATTGAATCGTCTTCTAGTATGAAGTTTAGGTTTGTTAATTTGTTTTTTTTTCGTGTATAGGATTCTCAGTTTGAAAAGGATTTACTTTTCAGCTTTCTGGATAATGAGGCTTATGATTTTATGGGTTCATCTAGATTTTCATATGATTTATCTTCTGGAAATATTGCTCGCTATACTGGGGATCCAGTGATTTGGAATAATGTGTATGCTGTCATAGAGCTAGGTGAACTTGGATTGTCGCGAAAGCGGGATAATTATTCTATGTTTTTCATGTTAACAGATGATAAAACTTACAATGTGGTTAGTGTTTCTACGATTTTCATTCTTGTTTATCTTATATTTTCCGAGTAACTAGCATGTTTGCTTTAATTTGGCCGGTTTCATATATTTTTCCAGTTATCTAAAAGATTCATCTAGCTTCTTTAAGTCAATCTCAACTTCTTTTATCAGATAACGCGTTATCTTTACTATTTAGGTAAGTAAAGTAATTGATGTACTCCTTATGAATAGATATGATTTAGTGTTTCTGTGTTCGGAGGAATAATATGTAGAGTTCTGCTCACCTGTCCGATTCCTGGATTTGAACCTATATTGGGGATTGTGTTCTGTGCGAATTCTGAGCCAGCTTTTTCAATGAATAAACGTTGATTTATCAGGAGTCCGTTGTAATTTTTTAAAATCTCAAGTGCATGTGCCACGCTTTGGTATAAAGTATGGAAACAATGATGTTATCTACCGTAAAACAGCACTCACTGTGTACTCATAATATAACATTTGGAAACTGGTTTGCTGCCTATTTTTATTTTTAAATTAAGCAGTCTTTAACATCTTAGCTTAACATTATATTTTCCGTATTACCAATTCTGTAGAGCTTCACTTACTACCTGGCTTAAAAGTTAATGGTAGACAAGGAAAAGTATTTGTGGATAATTCATAATGGTGTTATATATCCTAAAGTTGTTTCCTGTTGAAGTATTGTATAATACATATACCACTGTCATTAAAGTACATCATCTACTTCATTTACAATATTAAGAGTAGTCGAGGCATAGATATGTATCTCGGAATTTAACGGAGGTAGTTACTCAACATTAGTTTTATTGGGTTACATTTTTAGTGCATCTATATTGAATATTATACTCAGAGAGCTGAAGATAATTTTTCATATCATCCGTGAAGAGGTTCGATATGAAAAGTAGTTGATAACTGGTCATTGTTGCGTCAGCACTTCTAATTTATCCAACGCTTTTTGTAATTAAAACAATCCCACTTTTGAGTAGATATTATTCTAAGCTTCACGACTTTCTCTGAATAACATATGTAGTCTTCAAAATATATCTTCTACACGTTGATTACTTCATTCCCACCAGACTATTGAGTTTTCACATAACATTTGTTCAACGATGCTAACTGAAAAATAATTTGGTAGTTATTGAATCTAAACACAGATATCTTGTAGCTTTTTTATAAACGATTTATATTGTTATGCACCTGCAAAGTCATTTTTTTCAATTTGTAGACTCGAAATCTTACGGATAATATTTTCCATCACCTAACTGCTGCGAGTGAAACAAACCAAAAAGTTGATATAAAAAGACCATTAAACAAATTACGAGAGTTACCACTACCTCCAATATCATCAATGCAAACTCTTCTTCAAAACTCACCTCGTCCCCTTCCTCATGTGGTGTTAAGTGATTATGATCGTCCACCTTTCCTTAATAAACATTTTGAGAGTTTTCTTGATACTAGATGGCCTCCATTGGATAATCCTACTGCAGATACAATCCTTCTCGATTTTGCCAACACTCTAGCAGATGCTTTGCATAGAGTAAGTTTCTAACTAGTTCGGCGAAATTCTTATTTATTTTTCATCAAGTAATCCTAAAACTTTTAATGTCTACACAGTTTACTTTCAAGTTAGATATTCACTAAAAATCTTAAAGATTTCTTAGGGAAAAATTCCGTAGTCATAATACTACCCGTGAAACTCCATAATGTTGCAAAATACTGTTATAACTGCAAATTAATTTAGGAGCAAGTATAACTTGTGAAACTTAACAGGAACTAAGTGATTAGCACAGAATATGAATTCAGCTGTCATAGAAATTAAAAGCGAATGTTAATTTTTAATGATCTAACTGAATAAGTCAGGAGAACAATGTATTGTTGACTATTAATTATAGTTTTCCCATAATAGTAATTCTACCTGAAACTACGCTTTACTGGGGAATATGATTTGTTGAACGATTTGATATATTATAGTAAATATAGATTACAAACTCCTATGAATTGTTTACTTAACAAACGTTTTGTTAACCACCTTTACTCGCTAGTTGCATAATGTATCTAATAAATAGAATCTCATTAACTTATCAGCTAAAGCGTATAAAATATCTTTTGACCTAGTACTTTATCCGGCGAATCGAAATGTACAAATGGTTAGTGTGCTTAGTTTTTTCAGAGAAATCCATTTCGTCCGTTAAAAATAGATCGTCTGTATGTGCGCACATAAAAGCTTACTACAGAGAGTGATGCAGAACAAATGAATACATGTATCTAGTCATTATTTGTCACCATAGTCAACTGATTTAAACAAAAGTTATAAATTTTTTGGATACCTTATTCAAAGTTTCGTACACTATACGATGATCCATTCAACGTGTAAACACTAAAAACAATTTAGCATGAGGTAATAAACCTTATAAATCAGTAGCTAAAAAATGAGTATGTGACCAAATAATCTGCTCTACAAACTGTGAAGTGCTCTTAACAAGACGTTACTAAGGAATAATGTGGGAATGTACTGGCGTTCTTGTATATACAGTCGAGTTTTTTATGTATGATATGTAGATCTCTGTTTAGTGGTAAAACATACACATCGCCAACTTCGTTCTATAAAAGGTGAAAAAGTACATCATTTTTAATGAACCTTTTCTTAATTTATGGTCACTTTTCTTGAAATTATGTCGGGAATTACTCCAACTTTATATAGCACTTCATAAATTCATAACCTCATGTTTATATTTAACCTACGATCAAACCATTCGGTAATGATTTTACCCATACTTCATGCAAAAATGGGATTTGTTAATTGAAGAAATGCTTTATTAAGATATTTTTGTTTCAAGTTGGTTTCAACTTGGATTTGATTTTGTTAGTAGCTCATAATCTGTTTACATAGAGTTGAATGTGCTGACTAAACATCAAACTACAAGCCACGGTTATGGTTCGAAATCCAAGGATATTATTTAGTCCCTCAAGACTGAAGGTAAGTCGGTATCCGAACATGCCACTCACTAGTAAAATTTAAGTATCATAGATACAGTTGAACACAATTTAGATAAACTCAGTACATTTAACGTGTTAATCTAAGATATATTAGTAGCGTTTATATCTTAGTTCTAAAATTTTACAACCACATACAGTCTTCTCTTTCTCCATAATCTTACTGAAAGTATTTGAAAAATCGTTTTAGTTTATATATTGTCTGGAGAAACATAGAAATTAGGCATTGTAGTTACATATGTGATTTTTCGAAAATTGTTTTTTTCCAGATAGTTTCTGCAAATCATGAACCTATTTCATCCAGCATTGCTTATCCAAAACCTAGTGACATTATGGAATGTTTCTCAACTAATCTGGGATGTGACCTTTTCAAAATGGTAATATTTTTGTGTGTAGTTTGGATAGATTAATGTTTGCATCGTTTTCGAGCGACTTTTAACTATCATTAGCTCAGTAGATTTAAATGTTTCTCTGATCGGGAAGATAGAAGTTGTAATACTCCAGACATCTAATTTACTTTTTCGATTGACAAATATGTTAGTTCCTTTTAGATTTTATCATCTGATGTAATAATTAAAGTGTATTGGTTTTGGTTTAATGACCAGAAGTTAGTTTCGTGGTAATGAAAAAGTTATGCCACTTAAACGGGTAGAACATTAAGATCACAAGACATGGAAACTGACTGTTTTGTGTAAAGTGATGAACTCAGTACCTGTAGATTTTGTTGTTATTTACAGCCGAAAAGCTCACTTTATGTTCGGTATAAAAAAGTGCTTAACGTTGAAAAGTTGAAGACTTGATACTTGTTGATGTGAACCACAGTCAGTTTGTCGATTTTTCTATTAATTATTTTCTGACCGAAATTTCCAAATATTATCCACTGGATTGTACAACATTATATGAGCAAATTAGATGAGAATTCTAGGATAATGCATGGATACGCACTTTTACCGTATCTTGAAATATCACTTATTTCTTTTAGGTGATCTAAACTCCACGAACTTTTTGTGAATAGTAGTTTTAAGCAGAAGCACTTACAGCAATGATCAATAACAACTATTAAGGAGTTTAACACATTTACCATTTTTGCTTAATGATATTTCCCGTAGTATATCTTACATACAAAAACTTAAGTACACTCATGCTTAACTTTTTAGACACAAAACGATTAAATTATCTACATACTAAGTCATTGAGATTTAAGTTTCTTACTGATATGTCGAAAACTACTAAGTTTAAAAAGCAAACCAGTACCTTGCTTCAGTCTTTCTATAATACGTCTCTATAACTAATAATTACATGTAAATACGACTAAACTATATACTTCTTTACATTACTGAGGGTTAAAGAACCTACTACTTATATAATACTCAGTGTTGACTTGAACAGTTAATACATATTATCAGGTATATATCCTGGTGTAACTCAGCCATAGACCGTTCATTGTTTATCCCCATAATTACGTTCTTTGCCGTAAAGAACCTTGAGTATTTCTATACAAACGTACATACAAATTTAAGATTCTCAAGGACATTACTACATACCTAGCTAAACCACGGGAGAAACATGTCAACATTCTACCTAACAGAAGTATTCAAAACCTCAAAATAAACTCGCAGCAAATATTTGACTTGCTGATAAGTTCATTTTGTTTGAACTAAGGTCTCATGACAGATTACTAAGGGTGAACGATTAATCTTGATTACCTACTACGACAAATTTGAGGGATACATACCAGATATCTAATTCCACCCACAATCTGAAGAAACTTTCAACTGATCAACGCTTCTGAATACTTGGCACTTTCCCACCATGCCTTTTAACCATAGTAACGATCTAGAATCATTGTCTGGGTTAAATTGACTATAGTAATCATTCCAGGGCAAAACCATACTGTCCAATAAGTTTGTAAGGAGTTTCTTCTGATTGTATTCCCTCGTTACTAGAATTTTTCCTTGATAAGTTATTTTATATATGTTAGTTTGAACCCACTTCCATTTAGTTTGCTCACTTGCAGAATTTCTTCATACCCATTCTCATATTTCCAACTGATCGTGTGTTTTTGTTTACAGTATCTCAGTCCTGTGGACTATAAGTATGTACAAATGTTAAAAACACCTGTACCTGCACAAACCTACCTGCCATTGGGCCTACATGAGATAAAGATATCACATCTAGTCAGTATTCTGTTAATAGGACTAACTGGGGAACGGACTTCAACACCAGCATGTCCACCTTTTGATAAACGGGGTCCTTACACATATTGGATGGGATGTAAGTAAATAATTTTTGTTTTCCTGTTTAGTATTTACTGAGAGTTCATGTTTAGATATATCTCGTGTCCAACATATAAGATAAGAACCTTGGAACTAAAACTCGTTTCAATTGTTTTATTATACTCAAGAACTGGTTTGAAACCAATTCAGTTACCCACTACATGCATGTAGTTACTATTATCTAATTACACTCGTACTTCTACTCTAATTGTCAGTTTTTATATTAGTGATATGTAAGGTCAATTTTTAGTTGTTATTACAAGCCACGATGTCCCGTCATGTTTTTTGCTGTATTTAGTTATAGCACATCATTTTGATGACGTTAGCTACTAACAACTTACCCGTTAATTCAAAGGAAAGATATAAGATATTAAACGCTAGATATATTCATGTTTACACTTGGCTCATCTCATCAATTTCCATAAACATAACTGGTACAAAGAATGCCTGTCGCGCATATTTTGGATATGCATTCTGATTGCTCAAACAGTTACAGGTGTTCCCTTTCAGTAATCCCACTCTCTTCTTTTTGTACAAAAAAAAACAGATTTCAACGGCTCTGAACAATGTTACTTCACACGCATGGACATAACATCACAATTTTTGATGATGGAAAACGAGAAACTCAAAGCCCCGGCCTGGATGCGTAGTCGCGAACATTCTGAAAGGTTCTTGCGCTGGTATCGCGGTGCATCCCCAACGGTTGATGGATTCAGTGTTGCGCTAGGGATTTTCCTCATGACCCTCACACTTCTCATAGCTCTTTACATCAAGGAGGTCATTAATAAGAAAATAATACAAATACCTGCACAAATGGAAATTTTATATACATCTGACAACGAAAATCGTTTGGCACCTACATAAAAATTTTCTGAAAAAGATGTACATACAGAATATATTCTTTTAGACAAATTTCACTTTCTTCGCAGCATTTGATGGGTGTAGAGCACTTCGTTCTTGAGCAACCTTTTGAGCTTTTTCAACCAGACTAGTCAGTTGGCCGTTTTCACCCAGCATCTTGAGAAGCTCCACGATAAGTGGCAAATAGTTGTGTCGACGACGAATATTTTCTGCGCGATACGCTGCAATTTTCTTCTTTTCACTGGCGATATTGTTCATTAGTTCTGTTATGTAGACAGATTCTGGCTACAAAGTAAGCGCAGTAACATGACAGGATTCATTACCAGTATGATATAACTAAGCCTCACATTGTAAAGAGCTAATATGTACCAAATATAGATTGTATTGACCAATACAATAAGTAAAGTAATGGTATCACAGTTTAAAATCTTTCTGAAGTTTCGAGTTTTACAAACGTTACATGAGTAAGTTATACAAATAATATTTTACCCAAACCCTGATGAAGGGTTCAAATATGATTAAAAGCTAGTATAAATGCTTGTCATTCACATTTCGTACACTTGATGCAGAATCTCAATAGGAGCTGGAACGTTATACGTACCTAGAAACATCATTGGTAAACAAGGCGAGCCCGATGCATGCATCCAGTGGCAACACCATGTTAGTAACCAGAGGTTCGACAACGTGTGTTTGGGCACAACTAAAACACCGACTTTAGTGGCTTGCACATATACTACGAAAATCATTTCAGCGACTTTCACATTGTGTATTATTTGCGGACACTGAGACTGGTTGTAAAAGGTGGAGAGGTGGTCAGTGTATGACAGTCAGTCATCAACAACGTAAAACAAGGTACGTATGTACATTAGTTCAAGTTGCCATACCAAATTAGCACAGAGATACAATTGTCAATTCAAATCCCGTAGTGGTAGAGGTAGTAAAATTATAGGCTGTAATCATAAAAATTAGGGTTTGAAGATGTTATGCAATGAGTATAATCCAGTGAAATAAATTTGGAAAGAGGAAAAAAGGGACATGAAGAATTCAGAAGATTAGAATTTGGGAGAACACAGAGAGTGGATGCACCTGCGCCATCGCAAACGATTTTGAGCCATGTCATTCAAGGTCTCTAACCATCGGTTGCTATCATCTCGCGGATTCCAACCAGGTTGTCTACACCTACCAACATGGTTCAGTCCACTTGTCAGTGACTTCATGAATTTGTGCCATGCCTTGATTTGGCCGCCCTTAGTTTTCTTCCAACCTACTCCTACACCATGAAACATCGTACGTCGGAGCAGTCGGTGGTTGGGTATATGTAACACGTTTTCTAGCCATCTCAACTGATGGAGTTTCACTACTTCATCAATTGATTTGCCATCCTTACCTAGTACCCGTTTCCTAACAACTGCGTTACTTACTCGATGGTCCCAGGATATGCGAGCAATATTCCGAAGACACCTATGATCAAATACTAGTAACCTACAAATATCCTCTACTCTTACCGGCCATGTTTCACTGCCATAAAGTAAGACGGAACGAACTGCTGCGCAGTAAACCCGTTCTTTGGTTGATAGACGGATATCTCACCTACGCCATAAACGACGCAAGTTGGCAAAAGCCAGTCGAGTTCGGTCACACACAAGACCACAAAGCCTGACGGGACTACCAGGATAAGTGAAGCAGTTGAAACGCTCAACTACTTCACTCCCTATCATTAGTTCGGGTGTTAATGCAACCCAATCCTGAAGCAACATCTTGCATTCCGAGGAAGAGAATCGCATCCCGAACATGCTTGCATTGTTGCTTAGAGTGGTCAGAAGACTGCATTTTGTCAGTGTCTTCACCAAATAGAGCCATGCCATCTGCATATTCTAGGTCAAAAAGTGGAAATCCCGGTAGAAGTTCAATTATCAGTATGAGGGTTGTGGAGATTGTTAAGTTTTTGGTTGAGATCATGAATTAATTGATGTTAGACCACCGTTGGAAACCTGTAAGCACTGGACAGCCGTTTTGTCTTAGTATGGGACTCCTCAGCAGTGCGCATCCACGATCCCGCACTCCGCGGGATTTGAACCCAGGACCTACTGGCTTCGCGCCTGAGCACTTAACCATTAGACCACTGAAGTTCAATTCCTGGAAGTTTAGATGAGGAAAGTGTAATCTTTAAAAGCACGTCAACGACAAAGTTAAACAAGAATGGAGAGAGTGGACAGCGCTGACGAACATCACTTGAGGTAATCAATTCTGATGACAGGTCTCCATAAGTTCTCACTCAAACATTTGTGTTCGAGTAGATAGCCTTTATAAGGTTAATGTATTTCTTTGGTACTCCTTTCAGTTACAAACACTGCCATAGAACCTAATGATCAACAGAGTCGAATGCCACCTTGAGATTGGGAAATACTATTATTGTGGGATGTCTGAATGTGTATCTATGTTCTAGGATCTGACGTAACGTGGAGACTCTTGGTGACATGGCTCAGAATCGATCACAATGGCGTCGGTGTACACACTCCCTGTCTTCCCTTAAACTAAGAGATTAAAATCGCTTCATATCCTTCTTTCTACGAACCAATTCTTTCTTCTTGTACTATATCTCTATATGCAATCTTTCTCTTACATATTACTACCTTTGACCTAACCACTGCTATGAATCCGGTGTTCATCTTGTTGTGCTGATGCGGTATGGCAACCTGGACCGATGCACATATGTGCCTGGTCCTACGTTGTAGCTGACTGACTGACTGATCTCGTCTTTACAGCCACGTCCAGATCGGGGACCAGCCTGGTTTTCTCTAGTCTGCTCTTTACGAGCTTTACTTAGGCGTCGAAGTATTATTGAAGCTAATGTCTTAGACACTATATTAGTCAATCTGATTCCTCTGTGATGTTCAGAAGATAACTTTTGTCCTTTCTTATAGACTGGTACAATCGGTGGTTGAGACCAGTCAGATGGGATTACGTCCAGTTCCCGAATTCTACCTAAGACCTCAGTTAATCTCACTGCTAATACTGGACCACCATCCTTAAAGATCTCAGAAGTAAACTTGCCAGGGCCTGCTGCTCTTTCACGCTTTAGATTTCCTATAACATTTTCAACTTCGTAAGGAGTCGGAGGACCTACATTAACTTGCCATTCAGGTTGACTGGAGATCGTGGGAAACCGAAGTGTGGCTGAAGGTCAGTTGAACTGGTTCCTAAAGTGTTCTGCCTATCGATCCAATCTCCTGGATTCAGAATGTATAATATGTCCATTTTTGTCTGAGATTGTTTCGCTAAGAGTTAAGTTCCTAATACCGGTTTCCTTAACAAGTCTGAACAATTGTCTGCTATTACCTATTGCCGCTGCCTTTTCCATCTCTCTTGCTTTTGCTACCCACCACTGTTCGCGATCATTGCGTAGACTTCTTATCAGCTTGCGCTTAAGCTGACTCCGCTCTTCGTTATGTTCAGAGCCAGGTGGGATGAGTTTTCGAGCATCTATCAGTGCGGTAGATGCTGCTGAGATCCAGTGTTACTCCCTAACCTTCTGGTTTACCGTACTAGCAGATATCACTGCCGTTCCTACAGCTTTTCGGATATCATTCCATACTGCCTCGGGGTGGGCATCACATACATGGCTGCCTAACTGTTTTCCTAGTTGTGCCTGAAATATACTCTTAGCTTGACTATCATTAAGTAGGACCCTAAGAGGTTTCCTTGGAGTGTCTTTCCTACGTCCAGTAAGATGCTGACAAATACGCGCTCGCACTAAAGCATGATCTGAATCTAAGCATGTGCTCCAGAATGAGCGACAGTCTTCTATCGAGCCCCTCCATCGGTGTCTGATAGCGATGTGGTCCGGATGGGTTCAACGTTGGGACGAATTCGGGTGTCTTCATGTCAAAAGATGTTTTTCCTTATGCTTAAAGTTAGTATTTGCAAGAAGCAGGCGGTTATCTGAGCATAGGTGCAACAGACGGTCGCCATTATCTGTTCTTTGAGTTGCGACACCATAAGACCCACCCTTTCGCTTAGTTTACCTACTTGAGCATTAAAGTCACCGGCCACTAATACTACATCAGAGTGCCTGAACCTTTTGGGGAAGGTCCGAAAGCTTTCTATAAAACTCATCTTTTACATCATCTGAACTGCAGTCAGTGGGAGAGTAGGCAACGACGAGTGTTCCTATCTTTCCAAGTCCTTACTGCCCCGTTTAGTCGGACAGCGCACAAGCGACTGTCTACTGGGATCCAGTCTAAGAAAGCTGGTTCTGCCCTATGACTTAATGCTATACCTACACTAGCGAGGCCATGGGAAGCAGAATAAGGGCTTCCAGATACACGAAGTGTGAACCGATGTGGGTCTTTATTTTGATATGGTGAGGTCAAATGAATGACGCTACTCGGATCCTGTATGCGTGTTTGGGAGATGCAGCACAAATCGATGGCGGAAGATTCTAAAGTCCTAGCTAAGGAAGTATGTTGTCCTATTTGTCAGTGTTCAGACGTTTAAAGCTCTTACTTGTAGTTTAGAGCATGGTTTCAGTAAAGCAGGAATAACGTTCCGCGTACTCGGATCGTTTGATCTGGCAGCGCGAGGTGATAGAGGAATGTGAGAAGGATTAGTCGTAAAGATAAGGGTTATTAGGAGGTGTAGGAAGGATTAGAATGTGACCAACTTGATCTCGTGTGCTGTTTCGGGTATGAGGGCTGATGTCATTTCTCTGCTGCTCACACCATGGAAGGGTATTTCTTGAAGAACCTGAAAAGGAAGTTGGATTAGTGTTTGTCTTAACGACCTGGGAGCATGACCACAGAGTTCGAGGGACAACTGCTTGAGGATGGTCGCGCATGGCCTTTTCGTGGAAGGTTTTTAATGTGTTAGCTGTTCTTCAAAGGGCCTTACCGCCGGAGACGGAAATCCGTGAGGTAAGGTGAGGTGTGACATTTTTAGGGTCGACCCTTTCTGACCCAGTGCTTCCTTGTGTGCTAGAACCTATAGGAACGTATGTTTCAGCCAATATAGCTCGGTTGGGTCATCACAATGGGCAAGCCCGGCCACAACGCCAAGGTAGCAGCTACGGTCGGGCAGCATATGACATGGTGCCGTGGCATGAAAGAGCTGTGCAAGACTGACATTTGTTGTTCCTTCATGACTCCCTGGTTGGGGCCCTAGAAGCAGCGCAACAGCGGCTTGAGGCGTCAGAAATGGCTCGAAGTAGAAGCTAGTGGTAGACCTACTTTCTTTTTTAATTTCTTTATATAAGTGAGACGAACTTCTTAGACTCGAGGAATTCTCTCTAGCTGTTTTTCTTGAGTAAACTACTTCTACCATTGTTTTCTACTCCCATTCATTTACTTTTTTGCTATACTCACCTTCATTTCTATAGCTCCTCATCTAATTTCCTTGTGTGGGACATCGGTGGTCCTATGGTAAAATGCTTGCCTGTCGCGCGGGCAGTCCAAATTCGATTCCCGGTCGACGCACACTTCGTCCCCAAACGCCCTGGAACGGGCGAGGGTGGGAAAAGTCTTCTTTCCCTCTCGAAATGTCCTCACATGGCCACGTGTGTCCAGCTACTCAGTCTTTTCGCGGCGGGTATGGCGTATGAACCAATTGTTGGTCACCGGCTACCATTGGGACTGCATCTCCTTACGATGCTCCACTGCCTTGTGGATGAGACCTTCAGGTTGAAGGCTCCGGGCGTGGCCCCCTAAGAAAACCACCTGCTTCGGTTTGGGAACCCGGGCAGTATCACAGTTCTCACACAAATCAAATGAGATTTGTGTGGCGCATATGTATTTGGTGCCTCCTTGTACCAATATTTATGTGTTAAAATAAATAAAATAAACTTGTATGTGACCGGTAACTAGTGAAAACATAAAGTAACTCACTAAACGATGTAATCAGAACTTAACGTGCTTCGTATTTAACTAGCATTTTCAAGATTCCCAGAGTTACTTTCGTAACCCTTACAAAACTTACAAGAAAGAAGGGATGCTCTTTATGCTGTCACAAGTTGGAGATGTCAGTCTCTTTGTTCTTCTAAGCGTGAATATTATAACTGACTAAATGAATGACAAATGATATGTGTAATATTCAGTGAAATAAGTGGTTATCGACTAACACTGAGTTTCAGAAACACAGAATATTCATCTGTTTGTGTTTAACAGCTGGATTTATACATGGATTTCTTTCTAGTCAAAGGATATCAACAATTCACTTGATATTGTTTTACTTGAATCTTCCCATTGATGTTTTTGGACTGAAATTGATCAGTCTCTTATTGGCATATGTGCATACTGTGCGTATGCCTCGATATTGCCTTAATTTACAAGCATTATAAGCAAAGATGGATAGTGGCTAGCAGTGGAATCCAGGACGCGCGTTCCGTCCTGTTTGGGACTCGTCAGCTGGATGTACCTGCATCTCAGAGTTGATGTTCACTCTGGGACTCAAGTGAAACAATATCAAGTGAATTAAACTTCAACCCATTGCACAAGCAAGTGGCTATCAGGACTCAGTAGCTAAGTGGATAACGCGATGACGTTTGAAGCGAACGGTACTGAGTTCGAGTCCCAGAGTGAACACCAACTCTGAGATGCAGGTACATCCAGTTGACGAGTCCCAAACAGGACGAAACGCGCGTCCTGGATTCCACTGCTAGCCACTATCCATCTTTGCTTATAAGGATATCAACAATGTTTGAAATGTGCTCGTAAATGTTTCATGCCTGATATGATGTAATGAATGCTTCGTTTTGACGATAACTCTAATTCCTTGAGAAACACTTAACTATTAGAGATATCTACTGGACGTTAAACAAATTTGGCAACAAATTATGGAGGTTGTAACTGTCAAATATGAAAGGGTTTCTGGTAAGAATTTTCTGGATACAAATTGGTTCACTAAATTAGCATAGCTTAGAATAATTCGGAGATATGTATTTGCACTAATCCCTCAGCATCCCATTTTGGATTTGGCTCACTGAGTTGTATTTTGCTCACACTTTCATAATTTTGATTTGCAGATACTCAAAAAAGGTAAACGACTTCCCGAATGACTCAAATGAGTTCTCACAGAATCTTAATTTTCTGTTGAGAAACTGTAACCTGGTGTGAATATATTATCCTTGTTTCGTGGTTTTAAAAAAAGAAAGGAGTACTGAAAGGGGAGAACAATTATAACTATTACGTATGGTAGAGTTCTTTGAAAATCCTGTCAAGTAAGGAAGCGATGTTCTCAGGATAACTCTTCAGTTTGAGTTCACGTTTGCAGTTTTCAAGACTATAGCTTCGTCAAGTGACAAGAAAATCGTCAAGCAAATGGTACCCACTGAAACGTAAAATGTACAGACTTACATCACTTGAGTCCTTTTTATATTGTGCCAACTGTTTTTCGTACATAGCAAGTCGATTAGGGACTACTGCCATTATATTGAACTTTCCGTCTACACATTTCTCCATACGCTTCATTAGCAACGGACGAGCCGAATCTATCCAAGATGAATTTTCAGGTAGTTTTCCGTGATCAACAGGGCCGGGTTTTAAGCCATCTAATTCGTACAAAGTACCATTAATAGGAACATAACCAACAAAATGGTAAACGTCTTCATTTGACTTAGGGGTCTTCTCATCAAACTCGAATAACTGATAACTAATTACATATTAGCAACACGAAGGAAAATTACTTGCTAAAGCTGTTATGTACGACTCTAATTTGGTCAGAATTGCTTATAGCAGTACCCTTCATCTAGAAAAACTTGTTAGGAAGACATATTTCATACTGTACTGTCGAAGTCTGACACAAAAGACTTGAAATCAGACAACGTTGGACCAATGGGCACTTTGTCATCAATATTTAGCAAGATATTAATAATTGCTTGAGTCGCACAAGCATTTGAAATTGTCTAACAGAAATGTTTGAACAATCATTACGCTACTTGTTTCGCAAAAAATATGCCCCTGTTATTTGCGTCAGTTACCACTTTTCCAACATTATCTTGTTTGTCATCGTAGTTAAATAGGAAAATAAACCCAAGTGCGTCAGACACGTTGCTTGTTTCTGTCAGATCATAAACTTCTTCGCATTCCAAACTTTCTACACCTAGAAACTATATTAAGCAGTGTGCTATGACTAACCGAAACCTCTAATAAGTTCAGTGAATACTCCAGGATCGCTTTCTATTAAACACCAGTTACCACTACTTGACATTGATTGAATTCGGCCTTCAGAATGAATTTCCCTGACACAGAAAAAGTAAAATAAGCTCACTATTTAGTGAGGCATACTGTCATGAACTACCGTTTCCTTCAGATAAAAAGCTCAAAATTTATAGATCAAACTGTTTTGGCACAAAAATTATGTTTATGCGCACTGCATATTCTTGTTATCAGATGTACAAGAGTATCTCACCAACCATGGTATAAGGTCGCTCGACCTGTGATAATGCTTGCAGCTTGTTTCTAAGTTTTCACTGATGGAGTTGATACCACTTATTCGGGTAGGGCTCTCCAGTCATTGACTACTCGGTGAGAAAACCGGAATCCCGCCCCGAGTTTATTTGATCGCGGTTTTTGAACCCTCTCTCAGCGGTCTCACATATGATTAGTTTCAATGGTGGAAAAGGATAAAGCACATTGACACCCAAATCATTATTTAAGATCCAGAGTGCTAATATAAGGTCACCTCGCGTTTTACGGTAAGATAAAGCGAAATGGTGTGAAATTTTGGTCTCTCATCATAGGAGAATCAGGAAACCTCGTTGACAACTTAGTTTTTACGCTTTAAAAATGGTCAAGTGTGGTAGCATCCTTGATAAAACATGGACTAGCTGCTTGGATCCATTATTGCAAGTGGACTATAAAGTCTGAAATACGTCTTCATCAAGGCGTTCGAACGCTCAGCGAAGTGACCATAGCACTCGGAAACCTTTGGCACTTTCTTCATTGCAAGACACAGTTGTTTTTAAGTCGCAACCCACTATTATGCATAGGTCTTTTGTTCCTGTACGTGTGGAAGCGGTTGAGTATTACTGTCTCACGACAACTCGTCAATTTGAACCCATATTGAGGATTGTGTTCTGTGAGAATTCTGAGCCAGCTTTCTCAATGAATAACCGTTGGTTTATTAGGAGTCTGTTGTAATTTTTAAAATTTTTAGTGCGTGTGTAAGATGCTTTTTTGTGAATTACGTGAAGTTTGGAAACAATTATATTATCTACTTCATTCTAAAGCTATACCAGCATTATTGGTTCATTACATATCGCACCGTTTTTGATATTTTTCCTTTATTATCCTTTTCCTTTCTTACCTCATAAGTTTATTTTGATTTTTATATTTCACACCTCGATATGCACAAATGTTTAGTTGTCAGATTGTTCAGAGCATACTGTGGTAGTGTAACACATAGATCTGAGAAAATTTGTTTTCTTGCTAAATTATCCGAGTTTATACAGTATATCAAACACTCAAAAATGTGAAGTTGTTAACATGATAACAGTGACGGTTCTCTCAAATGTGGGTCTGCCATCAAAGTAGCCAAAGTTCCTGAATCTGATTAAATGATGGTCCACGGTACTGAGTGTGATGCATGGTAGTCACACCATTTCCGTTCAACTTCAGTAGGCTCCGATCCTCCACACAAATCACCTGCGTTCGTGATCTACACGGCCATGCGAACTTGGTTACTGTCAACCCTCAACTTTAAAGCCTGCGTTATATATATTTTTTATTGGTAAAGTTTATTTCTATTTGACAGAGGTTCTAGAAAACCACACATTCTTCTGTTACAGTACCGTCAGTTTTTACGAACGTCTTGTGGTTTCGATATAAAATAATATAAATGCAGCAGCCATCATTGTTATTTGATTATATTATACTGGTGGTGTAGTACTTACGTCCGTTACTCCACGTGAGGAGCATAGGCCGCTCATCAGCATCCTTCATCCAACACTGTCCCGAACAATCCTTTCCAGCTTTTCAAGTTGTTATTTATCCTTTTCATATCTGCTTCTCTTCTCGACGTAATGTGTTCTTTGGCCTTCCTCTTTTCCGCTTCCCTTCAGAATTCCAAGTTAGGGCTTGCCTCGTGATGCAGTTTGACGATTTGCGTAATGTACATCTTATTCATTTCCATCATCTTTTCCTAATTTCTTCCTCAGCCGGAAGCTGGTTTGTTTGTATGCGAGAGGAGGGCTAGGTCATCTGTGAAGTCCGAATCGTCTGAGCTGTCCATTGTACTCCGTGTTTCTCTTCAGATGTCTTCATAATCCAGTCGACCACCAGAACAAAGAGAAAGGGAAAGAGTAGAGAGCCTTGTCTGACTCCGGTCCTTACTTGGAATGCATCTGTCAGCTGTCCTCTATGTACTACTTTACACTGTAGTCTGTCATATGAATTCAGGATAATGTTGACAATCTTCTCAGGAACTCCATAGTGTCGAAGAAGGTTCCATAAGCTTTTTCTATCTTCGTTGTCAAATGCCTTCTCATAGTCAAGGAAGTTGATGTATAGTGACGAGTTCCACTCAACTGATTGTTCGACGATGATCCGTAGTGTTGCAATTCGGTTTGTGCACGATCGATCCTTATGGAATCTAGCTTTCTGATCTCGAAGTTGGGCGTCTACTGTATCTTTCATCTGGTTCAGCAACACTGTTAAGGACTTTCCCTGGTACTGACAGTAGTGTGATGCATATTGGTGGTCTAGTACCATAAATTTATTAGATGATTCCGATTCCAGACTTAAGTCTTATATACTCTACCAGATTAGCCTCGTCGTAGATCAAGCAATTCAACTTTTATTCATGTATATATAAAACACCAATATTCAACGTGCCTAGTAGAAATCTGTTTTTTGTCATTTGTATTTCGTAAAGAAATTTGCATGTAATAAAAAAATGCAATATAATACAAAAAGCAGATCAAGAAAACAGGCATACGTTTCCACTAGTGTGACCATGAAACTCCAGATTTAATCTTAGTTATCGTCAGGTTTGACTTAGCTAAAATACAATTTCATTAGGCACAACATTGAATCTCATGAAATTTGACACCAAGGTATATGCCTGTGCTATCTCCTTAAGTTGCTACAAACGCTCACGATTTTCTGAGTTTCCACACATCAAAATCGTGCACATTTATGGGGCATAAGATAATGAACGGTCTGTGTCTGCAGTACGATCGAAGGATAACTCGCCATCACAGCTCCCAACCCATTGTCATATATTGCTTAGCGAAAATGCCGCGTGTGGGGCGATCCTGAAACATAGATGATTACGAGCTGTCCAGTGCTACTTCGAACACCGTTTTTAGGCACAAGACGACAACACCAGTGTGAGTAGTTTACAAGTGTTGTATACAAGATTTCTTCCGTATGGGTTCTTTATGAAAAACCACACGAAGTGCATTAAATCAACCAGACTAGAACTCATCACAAGCGTAGAAAGTCTCATAAAACTTGCTGCTGAAGGAAAATAAATAACGAAATCCGGAACAACTTACCATAAGGACAAAGGCTAATGTCAGGTTATAAGAGTCTAGACGTTAGGTACTGTCCGTTTAACAACAGGTCTTTTGCAGCTTGTTTGTTGACTTCAGGGAGGGAATTGTCCTACGACATTAAAGCAATGTATAAAAAATCAGAGGACAACAATGACTGTCATCCAAATGTTGATTGTCAACAACTTAATATGAAAACCACGCCAGATATTAACCCCTTACTTCACATCCGTGACGCAACATCTACCGTAAAACGTACAACTGTCCTTTCAAAACTTGCCTTCAATAAGGTGTATAGCCAAATTATCTTAACTGTCGACGAAATTCCCAATACGGCTATCATGACTACTTGATCGCAAATGCAAACAGAGGATCCCATCTCCAGCATTTGGATTTGTTTATCGTTGACAACAATAATATGGCATTATTGTAAACGTTCTGAAACATGAAACAGCAATTAACTGTAAATTGTGATCGATAAACAAGCTTACGAATGATATCATGAAACACTAACAACCACATTAGCTTCCTTCGACCTTGCTTTTTCATCATTCACAATTTTATATTTATCATAAAACAATATTCGCTTTGTTGACTCACTTATTATATTCTCTGGTTACTGTTCTGTATGTTATTTATGTCTCTCTTTTTCCCTGTTTAATGGGCAGTATTAACAATCTAATTTGTTTACTAATGGTGTTCATTAACGTCTTAGAAACAGATAAAGTCTATTATCCCGTAGAAAACAACTGTGCTAAAAGACGCTCGCCAGAATAAGCAAATTAAGTAATTTAAACTCCACCCTGGGAGTTGTAGGAAGAATTATGATGCCTCGCGATGAGCCGATATTCTTCAGAAGTTACGAGGTCCGAGTCAGTTTTTACGAGTATGTGGTGTGAAGACAGTCCACAAGTGAACACGAGGAAACCCTGAGAAGAGCCGAAGATATTCCATCCAATCATCGTTTGGTAGAATATTCCAAAACCCCTATGTAGAGCTTTCCTATTGAGCAGATGCTAATAACCTTCTGTATGCGGGTTGGAGGACTACAATGATGATTTCGTTTTTTACTAAAGACTAAACATACCTGACAGTTTGTACCATAATTGATACTGTTTGGAGTAGAGTTCCTTTCACTTGTTTTCTGTCTTCTTATTTGTGATTTGGGAGTTTTCCAATGTCCGAGTGCTCACGCTATGCGCGGTACATTAAGGATCTGAGCTCTAGATATAACACATGAAATATCCGGACAATATGGGAGAGCGGAAGGACCAGTCAAATGGTTATAGAATTAAGAAGACCCAACTTGACAGCTCTGAAAATCGATGCGACACATTGTACTAAGCTGGACAGGGACGGATAAATTTGGAAGATATGTTGCCGTACTCTGATCATGAAGAAGAAAATTCTCCGTGTAGTCAGTAAATTGCTATACTGCTGTTCAAACAATCAGGTATTGCACTGATAGGACGGGAATCTCATGAATCCAGGATGAGATACACAACATATTTCTGGAGTAAGCAATGTAGTTGAAAACACATTGTCTTGTAAAACTTACTTGAACAGTTTTCAAGGTATTGACCCACTTAAGCTCTCCCAGCTTAAAAAAGAATAGAGATACTCAGCACGAGCTTTCTTCGACTTCCCTTAATCTCCGGACCAAAGAAATTAGAAAGGGCGGGGGAACTTTACTGTGTAACACATTTACATGTAGGTTTTGTCTAGTTTTACCAGAATGTTTTTGACGCAGTTTCTCCAATTATTTACACAAAGTTTTGCATCGAGGTGTCCAAGAGATCATTAAGTTCGTCTTAAGTCCTTTCTGTGTGTCTTAGAGCGAAAACAGAAATTAGTGGCCACACTCCTGTGTAAGCCTCCTGTAGCCTAAGGGTTTGTGCGAAAAGTATGTCTCTTTGGCTGTTTCGCAGCCCCTAAAGATCGCCTCGGCCACGTCCATTTTGAACTGAAGAGACTCCGACTGGGACCGGACAAACACTTTTGTCCGCTTCACACGATGGCCAGAAGCAGTACCACGAGACTCTGAATGACCGGCCACCATCCACAAGCTAAGTTGTTGGTAGAACGATTTCACCG